TATTTCAAACACTTGAAATATGTATCGTTACCTTTAGAGTAATGTTATTTAGCCACATTGAGGTTATAACATCAGTTTAGGTAGCATTAAATTATACTTGAAATTAAATAAGTAATTAATTTAGAGCCACATAGACTGAGATTATAATCGTAGTCGGACTACATAGTATTACTCTCGCCTTTAATCTATCCTTGATGGGAGCAACTGCAAGCCAGTCAGATAAGCCCACCTGGCCCAATCAATGGCCTGATTACAACTTTTCTGAATCGTGTTTAATAATTATGCTTAGGGGGCGTTGAAGATGATCTTACACTATAGAAGAAATGTGAAAAAAGTGTGAATGCTCTTCCAAAATTTTGCCGCAAAACAATATGAAGGATGGATTATCAAAATCAATTTTGATACCTCCATGACAGAAACAAATCCGTCAATATTCGACCACAAATTATTATTTCTAAGTTTTTTTTTAAAAAAAATTGTTGCTATATATTTGTGACCAATTTTGAAAGAATTCTAAAGGTTTTAAATTTGAAATTATATCTCAAAAGTATGATAATTATATATTTTTCTTAGATTATTAAGGCTCGTTCAACACGATTTTTGATTTTACTTCTTGTAGAAAAAGTTTACGAGGATGTTACCTTAATTAGTATATAAAAATTAATTTTTAAAAGATTTTTCTCTTTTTGAAGTAGTTTTTGAGAGTCAAAAAACTCCTTTCGACTTTTCAAAATTTAAAATTCAAAATACTTGAAAAATGATATCAAATATCGAAATTCCAAGATTGATTTTTTCTTTTTTTCCTCTTTTATTTGGTTAAAATTGATATTGAATAGTGCTTTATTGAAAAAAAGGGGAAAAAATAAAAATAAAAAAATGTTTCTTGAACTGATTGGTGACAGCTGGCTGAAGTGCCACAATTATTCTTTGGATTGGTTGATGAATGCCACTAACATCTCACAGGCTGTACAACCCCACGCCAACTCACCCCACCCACTCTTCTCTTATAAAAAATATATATATATTGCAGTTTTTGGAAAAATGTGGTAAATAAGAATCTTTCCACTCGAGGAAAGTCCATTCAAATATGTCATGTCCATTATTTTTTTAAAAAAAGAAAAAGAAAAAGAAAAATACATATATTATTAGAATGTAACACGAGCTCGACAAATCTATTTTGAATTAAGCTAAATTTTTAATTATGAGTAATGGGATACTTTGTTCTCGATAGAGCCAAATTGTCATCTTTCAAGATCTTATTTCGAGACAAATCCATAAAAGTGAGCACATAAGAAATTCTTAAAGGGGTCAAATCAAGACCAAGAAGCATCATTTTTCCAACAAAAACTAGAGGGCTCTTTTCTACTAAAGAACGAGCATTAACAAGAATTTATCCTTTATTTTATGAGAAAAGATAGTTTTGGGTAACGTACGCATTCTGACCAAGATAAAAACGCAGTTCAAATCATATGATATTGTTAGTGTAAAAGTAACAAATAGGTTGAACTTACCGATTTTGTTATTTTATTTTTATATATCATTCGCAAGCTCTTGATATGATATTCCTGAAATTAAATTTTTTATTTAAAAAGAAAAATGGTCGAACATGAAATCGACTCAACATGAAATTTGATATGTTATACTTTACAGTTTATCATCTCACGAGATCTTATAAAAATAAGAAAGATCAGGATCAACAGATTGCACTTAACATTTAATATATGAATGTTATAAATATCCGATAACACTGGATAAATTTAAATTTATTGAGTAGAGATGATCATTTTCAAGAACAAAAGCAAGATGAATAATGCTATTAATCATTATAATGATGGAATATCGGTGATACGACAATTTTGGTGGAATAATGAAATGTGATGGTTCAATCCCACTCTCGTTCATAAAGATTGAACTTTCTTATTCCATAATTCTACCTAAGTTACCACATTATCGATGTTTCATCATTATAATTATAAATATGATTACTCAAGCAAGATGGCCCTATAAAATAATGAACCAAAGGGTGCATCAATAGAGGTCTCTTCATGGCGAAGCTTTAATTGAATTCTTTTATTTAAATGCAGCAGAAAAAAAAAAAAGCTAAAAATTTCCAAAGAGCTGTATCAATAATTCACCAACGAAGCAAAGTTGTTTTATTTATTGGGTTAATTGAACATAAATAAAAACATTATTTTATGCTAATAATCAATCATTGAAACCAAACCTTTTCTCTGCTGACATATTTCGTACAACAATTCGCATGTTATAATATTTGGACTCATGTTGATATATGGCTAAAGCCATTTGTACACTCTCATTTATTGCACTATGATTGACATTTGATATGCTGTCAACAAATAAGAAGCTGATATTTTTTTAACCGGTTCAATTGAATAATGTCACATGACAAAGTGTAAATCATGATGTGCACTAAGCATGATTGTTGATATATCTATAACAATCATGTTACATGTGCATTTTGTTTTACATTAACTTTTACATTTTTTCACGTCATTATCATGGTCTTTGATTTTCTTAACACGTTTTACACCACGAAAAATGCTACCTGTACATCAAAAAGTGTACATCAAGGTCTACATCCCCTCACATGGAGGGGTCCACTTGAATAAAATATTCGAGTGAGCCCCTTACCCATATGAGGGGGGTGTACACCGTAATGTACACCCCGATGTACTAGTAGCATTACTCTTTACACCACTGTCACATTTTGTCCAGAGGGCAATGTCATGGAAGATGTATACAAAAATGTACATCTAACAAAAATTTTATCTACAAACCTAAATCACAGCCTCTCTGACCTGACCCTCTTGTACTCGTTCTATCCCGTTTCGATAATTAATTTGATTATCGGAGTACAAATAATTTTCCGACTTTTTTTTCAAACAATAATCTTTGGATTGTAACCGTGTGTTTTAGCGTACAAGTGACGCATAGATTGACAGGGAGGTGGTCGAAATCCTATTGACCACTTGATGTAACAGATTTCGAGGACGGCATTAATTAACTTATAATCCAAAATGTTTAGAATTTTATAAGTTTTACAATATCCGATAAAATTGTTCCTTGTAATAAGAATAAGAAAACCAATAAAACCACGCAATTAGGTTATGTACGAGGTTAATTTAAAACCATAATTAGCGTACTGATTACTCCTTTATTTAATCATAATCAGCACTCTCCTTTTCAATTAATTTAGGAAAAGGGCTCAGTCTGTACAGATAAGATCAACAACTTTTCTTAAGTTTGGACCACAATCACATTACAGCAGCAATGGACTTTCCTTGTAGAACCTAGCTACAGAAAAAATGACTAATTCAGTATTTTATTGTATTTGGACCTTTTCTCTACATTACGAAAAATATTGCACTGGTAAAATTGACTTTAATATTGGAGATAATTATTTAATGATTGGGTTCCAACTAAACAAAAATATTTTAATGTGTTGAACAAGTTAAGATGAAAATTTACAATCACTTAGATTCATACCAAGCACAAGAGGTACTATATAGCATTCTTATGTGGAAATATTACACTATTTCTTAGTTAAAATTATGGTCCAATAGCGTTGAACCAATGAGAATCACTGATTGAACTGATGATAATCCAATGATTTGTCCGAATCAACGATCTGGTCGAGTTTGATAACTGGGGCTAAAACAATCAAACAAAATGGTAACATATAAATGATCAACAACGTTATAGGTATGGAAAAATCTTCATATAAATCATACAAATGGATACTTGACAGATTATCATTGGAAAATGGCAAAAAAAAAAAAAGGAAAAAGAAAAGAAAAGCAGTAATACATGTGCTACCACCTGTACAGTTTCTGTCTATTTTTTTCTTGTACTTGTAGAATAATTCATAAATAATTGAGAGACATCTCTAAAAGTCTCAAGGAACGAAATGTGGACACACTTTTCTTTCCTTTAATTAGTTAAGTCCATGAAGCTCTTTCTTTATAACTTACTTTTAACTTCATTTCTTTTTTTAATAATTTTGTACGTAAATTAATTTTTTTTTTAATAAAAATCATTTTTTTATAAAATTTATTCTAAAAATAGCTCATAGGGTAAATTAAAGAACAACTGTGCTACATATACAACTATGATTGACAACTTTTATTGACGATCATGAGTTAACAAACTTTATTCCATTGATTTTTATTTTTTAAATCAACCACACGGATTTGAACAACGAATGAATTGTGAACAATGTACAAATGAATAAAAGAAAGCCCATCTATATTTATCTGGTATACATGCCACTGACAGTTTGTCCGTTTGCCCTTTTGATTAGGCGCAACCCTTCTCTTTCTCTCTCTAATGTGTCTTGAGCTGCTGTCCCCACAGACACCTTCCAGCCAATCATTTCTCGACACCATTTTATGTGTTAGAACTCTCTTCTTCTGTTATATCACTGTGTTTTCTTCTACCCTCAAATATCAGCCTCTCTTAACAAACATAACTGAAATAACATGGATCGTTCATTTGTAAACTCAGTAACTGGCTTGCCTTTTATCATTCTTCCTTAATCTTTCTCTGTGTGTGTGTGTGTATATATATATATCTGCACCTGTGTATCTATCCCTTTCTCTCTCTAGTAAAGTAAAGCAGCCACAAATTTCTGTGTTCAGGAATTTCAAAACCCATCATCCCCAATTTAGATCTACTCTTTTAACAAATTCTTGAATTTTCTTTGGGTTTGGGAAAATTATGTAGCTTTTTCTTGATTCTTCACCTCTTGTCAAATAGGGCTCGATTATTATCTTTTTCTTTTTTTTTTGATACTGTTCAGTACATACAGTACTCTCGAGCAGACAAGCCATCAGATTCTATTCCAATGCTTCTTGATCTAATGCTTATTCCTTCATAAGAAACTTCCACCTTCTATATATTTCCTCCCCATTTATTCAAGTCTTTTAGCTAGTTGCTACCTAGGTTTTTCAGAAATTTTGACTATTTCATGCCCAGCTACAATGAACAGAGGAATGGGGTTTATGTCTCCTGAATCATATGCGAGTACTTCAAATTGGTTGTTCCAGGAAAGTGTGGTGACAAAGTGGACTCCTGAAGAGAACAAAAGGTTTGAGAATGCTCTTGCATTATTTGACAAAGATACTCCAGATAGATGGAACAATGTGGCGGCAATGATCCCAGGAAAGACTGTAAGTGATGTGATCAAACAGTATATGGAATTGGTAGAAGATGTTAGCGATATAGAAGCTGGTTTAATACCAATACCTGGGTACACCAATAATTCTTTCACATTGGATTGGGTGAATAACCAATATTATCATGGCTACAGACCATCCTGTGGTTCGGCCGGTAGTCGGTACTTGTCCACTCGGTCGTCTGAACACGAAAGGAAAAAGGGTGTACCATGGACGGAAGAAGAGCACAGGTACCTAAACCTTAAGCTGTTAGACAGTTAGAGATAACATTATTATTATTTTTTAAAATTTTTATCTTCAACTCGTCCCAAATCATATTTTTCAATTAAAGAACTGACACGTGCACAATTTCTGTGATTTTGCAGCAACCAAAATTGAACTTGGTACCTTCATTTGTTCTGATAACATATAGAACCACCTCCGTCTGATCTATTAGTTTGTAATAGCATATTATTTGAACTGTTACTCTAGTTTACTGCGGTTATAGTTTAAAAATCTTCATATTATCTTCTTGCTTGAATGTAGAAGTAAAATGAAGTGCCTTTTACTATGCAACATGAAACTAACAAATGAAAGGGGCATAATCTGATAATCTTAATCTTATAGCTAATTCTGCCAAACACTTGCAAAGTTGTAGTTATATCTTCTTTGGGAAATTTTTTTTTTGCATATGGGTGTGTTTGTCTCTCATTATTGGGAGAAAAATAGAGTAATGAATAGTATTTTTTGGAAAATGTGTGGTTAAAATTTAAAGTAACTTTATTGATTTGGGTGTAAAATATTTTATTGGGTGAATGTGTGATAGAGAATCTTACCGTAGCAAACAATTTTTTGGAATAATGGTAGAAAAATAGAGGCTAGTTTGTTTAGGAAAGATTGAATAGGACTAGACGATGTTAATAAATTTTGTTCATTCTATCTAGTCGAGTTCAGTACTCTGTGACAAACATACATGTCATAATCCTTCTTATGTTATACTTTTCCTTTTAGTGATGATGTTATCTATTGATGGTAAAACATCAGGCAATTTCTGTTGGGGCTGAAAAAGTACGGAAAAGGAGACTGGAGAAATATCTCGCGCAATTTTGTAACGACGAGGACTCCAACTCAGGTTGCTAGTCATGCTCAGAAGTACTTTATCAGGCAGCTTTCTGGAGGGAAGGATAAGAAAAGATCGAGTATACATGATATCACAACCGTCAATCTTACAGAAATGAAATCGCCTTCATCAGATAAAGATAGACCTCATTCACCAGATAAATCTACCGTGGTTATGCATTTTCAACAGAATTCAGGCTCTAATCAGCCAAATGAAGGTGCGAGAACGGTTTTCAACCTACCAAGTAGTAGCCTTATAATGTCACATCTTCGAGGTACTCCTTCGTTTGCAGTACTAAATCCGTATAACCATCACATGCAAAGTAATAGTCCTCATGTACTTGAGTGGGGACATCATGATACAATTTCTCGAATTCAGTCCACCCCACACAAGTGATTTCATAATGCAGCTAGAAACCAAGTACGGAGTTATTCGACATCATGTGAATGTGTTAATGAAGGCTTAGCTGATGTTATTCGGAAACTATCACAAGATGCAAAACATGTTAGCAAGTGCACTCAGGATGCGTTTAGTACGCAACATGATCAGACAATACAATGAACAATATTTTAGAATATCACGATTGTGTTTTGTAAATAACACTTTTCTACGAAAGGTTCATTTGAGTGATAAAGTAATTGAACTATGGCTAGATGCTGCATCAAGAGGGATACATTGTCAAGATTAGTTTACTTTAAGCGCAAAGTAAATGAAAGTTTGGCTAGAAAAGGTTCTTTGGAAAATGAGTTTAGAGACCAAAAAAAGGTGTATAAAAAGCTTCAAGAAATGTTCTTACATATCATTTTCAGTATATTTATTACAAATAATTGAAGTACAAGTTGTCTACCTAGAAACTTTGTTGTACTTCCTACTTATCTTGAAGATCCCAATGTGTTATTAGCCTTTTGGTACCAAATGATTTGTGCTAGCCTTCAACTATTATGTGTTAAATGAGTAGGGATGAGACGTGAAACCACGTTATACTATATTAAACTATCTCGTTTGAGAGTTATTTATTTGTTCAATTTAGTTTCAGGATGGAGGATTTGACCACAACATATAGAATTTTTTGTATTCTTGGATGGGAAATTGTGAGTACAAGTGAAGACACTTGATGGGACAAATTGGCCTATTGCCAAATGCCTAATACGAACTTGCTGAGTCACTATGCATAAACTGAGGCAACGTTGTACAGCCACACTACTTTTCCCATGTTCCCAACTTAGCAAGACAATGATTTTTCACTTCCATAATACTCGTCCGACTAAATTTGAGCAACATATTTGTCAGAGTCCACTGTCCACTTTAGAGCTATTAGAATATTCGAACCAACGACATATTAGTGTTGGTCAATCTCTTTCTCCCACATGTTCTACTAAAATCGTGTCACTCTTAAAAATTGAAAACCGTAAAACTTGCCACTGTTGCATAAAATGTTCTCCTTTGTTAGAATATTCATACTACTTGTTGTTTGCTAACTGGTGGTATATGTAAACTTTACTGTTGCTAGGACAGTCATGAAAAGTTTCATTATCCATTATTTTTACACACTATTTGTTGTCGCACCCACTAGCTAAAGAATTTAAATTTCAAAGCAATAAGAAACTTTTTGGTAAATGACAAACTAACCCCCACTGTTTCTTTTCAAAGAATCACTTTTTTGCAAGTTGCATATTGGATCACTTTACTACTTTATTCTGATGTGATGCACAGCACCCCACCCCTCAAGTTATATTTAAAACACACACCTAATATCACCACCTAAAACTTTTGGTTTGTGTTCTTTATTCCTTTCTTACTAGATTCTGATACCTTGCTTCAGAATGATCTTAAATTTGATGCACAATTTACTAGATCCTTGTAGCATAAAGTAAAATTGTTAGTTCTCTATAGATATGAATCAATTTTCTTTATTCCATGTGATTTATAGCTCTATATCTATTAAAAGATTTAAAATAACAAGACCTTTAATGATGATAACGGAATATGGTACTTTCGGTCTATCCTTCCCTCTTTTAACGTGTTTTATCAAGATACATTCATCTCATGAACAAGAACAACTCTTACACAAAGCACGCCTTATCCGAAATATACATGAAAAACTTTGCGGAACAGATTACAGATCATAGCCTCATAGGGATGGTAAAAAAGCTCGGGCTGAATCCCATTTTGGGACGTCGGCCCGAGCCGGGCCAGCCTATGTAGCTCATCAAGCCACACAGGCAGACTCGTGTCGATGGTCGTTTCGACCCGTACGAACTGCCCTTTTTATAAAAAAAATATTATAAAAAATATTTAAATAAAGCTAAAATGCAGGCAGCTTAAAAATAAGCTGCCAGTTGTGCATGCAAAGGCAGCTAAAAATTTAGTTGCATGCCTAACAAGAAAAAAATAATAATAATAAAAACCTGAGCCGGCTCGACCTGCTAAGGCTCAATCGGAAAGCTCGGGTCGAACCTCATTTTTTTGGTCGAGCTCTTGTTCGGCTCGAGTCAAAAAAAGCTCGACTCTTTTTGGCTCAAGCCGAGCCCGAGTTTCGAGTTTTGGCTCGTGGCTTGACTTGACTCGTTGCCATAACTAACATATCATATATAAAACACTATGAAAAATTTAAACTTGCTAATGATGAAAGTCATACAACGCACCACCACTTCTCTACGAAGAGACTATAGGCAATGAAAATGCGGCCATCACTAAAACAACCATTGTTGATAGTCTCCGACTTAGCAATCATCTGACATATGATTAGATTTCGATTTTGACTTTTGATCACGTTGATACTATGCGGGAGTCTTGTATGGCATTGACAGGTGGTGGCAATCCACGTTCAGGAACGTTTTGCCTTTGCACAAGTACGTGCATGCACACATATATGAACGTCCATTGTGGATGTTGATTGAACATAGTACCAAATGCAAATGCATTGTTTACAGCTAAAGATTAGTCGAAGTAGAATAAAGGTTGTGTTGGAAAATAATGTTTGCACAAAGAGAAATGGAGAAGAAACATAAAAAAAATATCAAGAACTTGCAAAGAAGAATAAAAGGCATAAACACGTAATTATTGTCCTCAAACGATATTTGTCTCTTATTGGATTGAATTTTGGTGCAAAGGGATTTTGGCAAATGATTTGTAGGATTTATCAAGCTTTGAAAAGATTAATATTTAGACACTTAGTGTAATCCTCCAAAACTTGAGAACACAAAATGAATATGAAGAGAATGTGAATTTCAATACTTTTTGGAATAAGGGAATACTATCAAGTGTTTTTCTATGTTTTTTCAATCTTTTTCATTGATCATAAACCACCTATTTATAACCATCATGCAAGGCTATGCGAAATGGTGTCAAAAACACTGAAAAAGCATTCAAAAATTCAAACAAAATGAGTCTCTAATGGGCTATATTGTTGTTCTATGCAATCCTATGCAGTCGCATAGAACAAACCTATGGCAGGGCCTTTAAACCCTGCAAAGGCCTATGCAATTGTAAGCCTTCTTGGCCTATCTGACAACATAGGACAATTTTTAGGCCTCCAGTTCCATTTTTCATTCCACATTCTTTTATTGATTTTTGAACAACCATACAACAATCCTCCACTTGTTCAATACTCAATAAATCTCATATTCAAAATATACAATACTCATATATAAGGATTAAATAACTTTCAATTTGAATCTAACTATAGTGTAATTCAAACAAAGTAAAGTAGGAATTAAAGGTAGCATGAAAGTTTTGAACCAATTATTCCATATGACAATATCTATAAGAACATGCACACAAGTATTACGTGTTTTCAAGTTCCTCAATCTTGCTTAGAGCTAATATGGCCTTGCGCTCATCATTTTCAACAAACTTTTAAGAGAAAAACGCTAACTCTCTATTAAAGTGGCACCACCTCGAAGTTCATCTAGGCGAAATTCTTCCAATACTTTTGTTACTTTTAGAGATACTTATACTTAGTACTGAATTTCATTAAGAGCTTAAAGCTCAACCATCACTTCAGTAACAACCAACATTATATAATTAGGATAGAGTTATTGCAGATTTTATAATGCTGAAACTATCCACGTATCGAATGACTTGTTTTTATCCTTTGAATCCTTGAATTACTCGTTAAGTAATGACGGGTATGATTGCTATCATTGGTGAATCTTTTGATTTAAGAGTTTTAATCTCATCCTACTCGAAGTAGATGTTACTAAATCTCTATTTAATGGTTTAGTTAAAGGATCCGCTAAGTTCTCTATTAACTTAACATAATATGGGAAAATTATTCTACTCTTGATTAATTTTCTTATGTAGTCATGTCATAGACTCATATGTTTAGAATTTTCATTGTATACCTCGTTGTATGTAAAGTGCTAATACGGCTTGACTATCACACAATATTAAAGATTTATTTTTCGGTCCCAAAGATATCTCATAAAGTAGATTCTTAAGCTATTCAGCTTCTTTCTCGATTTCTGATAGTGCTACAAATTCAGATTTCATAGTTGAGTGTGTTATACTTGTTTGTCTCTTTAATTTCCAAGTAGTACCTCCTCCAAGAGTAAACATCCAACCTGAAGTAGATTTACTCTCATGTGTACTAGATATCCAACTAATATTAGTAAATCCTTCTAATATAGTCGGGAATTTAGTATATTGTAGACCTAAGTTCTTAGTTTTCTTTAAATATCGAAGAACTCTTCCAATGGCCTTCCAATGTTCCTTACTCGGATTACTAGTAAAGGTACTAAGTTTACTAATTGCAAATGCTATATCCTGTCTTGTGTATTGGACTGTATACATAAGACTCTCTATAGCACCTGCATACTCTAATTGAGCAATATCGCTTTCATCATTCTTTATAAGTTTACTTGGATCAAGAGGGTACTATATTCTTTTATGTTCAAATGTTTGAACTTATCTATCACATTCTCGATATAGTGTGATTGACTAACCCCTACTAGTTTTAGTATCTTTGATATTTAAAATGGTATCCACTTGTCGAAAATATTTCATCTTGAATGTGCAAGATAGAAACACATTCGTTTCTTTTATTACATCTATGTGATTACTCAAAATGAACATGTCATCAACATATAAGCAAATAAGTATATCACAATTATCACATAATTTGAAATACTAGCATTTATCTACCCTATTATGTTTGAAACCAAATGATTTAATAGCTAAATCAAATTTCTCGTGCCATTTTTAGGTGCTTGCTTTAAACCATATAATGATTTCACCAACTTGCATAATTTATGTTCATTTCTTAGGTGAGCAAACCCTTCAGGTTGTTCCTTAGAAACCTCCTCATCGAGATCCCTATTTAAGAATGTTGTCTTGACATCCATTTGATAAACATGCAAGTCATGTATAGAAGCTAATGCAAATAATATCCTAACGGATGTTATTCTAGCTACCGGTACATAAGTATCAAAATAATCTATTCTTTTCTTTTGTCGATAACCTTTAACTACTAATCTAGTTTTAAAAGTATTAAGAGATCCATCAACATTATATTTTCTCCTAAACACCCATTTATATCCAATATGATTGGATACGAGTGG